TTTTCTTCTGGCTGTGGCTACAGGCCTGTGCGTCAGATGTGGCGGGCGATCCAGCGGTCACAAGCCTGGTGCTGGACCTCGTCGGGGCCATCTGCAGCGGCACCACCCCGGGAGGCGCGGAAACGGAATCGAGCTGCGGTCCGCGGGGGGTCGCTGTGAGGGGCGGGGAGCGAGCTTCTGTCCAAAGCGCACGCCGCAGGGCCAGGATGAATTCGTACGGTTTTCTGGCGGGGTGCTGCGAGTGGCGGACGATGGAGGCACTAAAACGCAAAGCGTCACCACGCGTCTCGCATCGGGGAGGGGCTGCAGCCTTGCCTCCAACACGGCATCCTCCGCTCTACTGCCTCTCGGGGTTCACGCAACTATTTTGCTCGCCTGTTACCTTGCGGGATCCGGCGTGCAGCGGGACGTCTGAGAGGCGTCCCAACACCATGCGCTGACGCCGTGCGTCGCCTCCGCCCGCGGCAGCGCAATGTACAACGCCCTCAGTGTGTCTCTCCTGGTTTCCCATGCAAAAGACAAAATCGTTGCCAGTTGGAGTGGGCGCTGCTCCGATTCCTCATGGAGATGCGCCACGTGTGCCCATTCCACGAGGATGCTGGAACTTGACGCCCAGAAAAGTCGGCATGCGTTCCATAGTGACCGGGGCGTCCTCGCAAGCGAGCCGCAGTGGGGCCGTGCTGCCGGTGCCAAGGAGAGTGTAACTAGTCCTTCTGGCATTTGCCTCCATGAAGTACTCTCTGGTCCACTCCACCACGGCACTCAGGCCTTCTTTTGAGGCCGAGTTGATCGCATCCCCGTTGCTCTGCTGTGCGATGAGAGTGCGGTCATCAGCAATGAATCCTCGGCGAAGTAGGACACGTTCGAAAGGCAAGAACAACGAGACTGCATGACGACGACGAACATGATGGGTGACAGCGCTGTTCCCTGCGGTGCGCCTCGTGTGAGGGTCCTGGAGGAGGGTGTGAGTTTCTCGATGCAAACCACAGCGCTTGTGTTATTGAGGCACGCTGCTGACCAGCGTACGATGCGATTGGGAACCGACAGTCGCCGCATTTCCAAGATTACCGCGTCAGGGCCCGCCGTGCCAAAGGCATTGGCGTGGTCCACAAAGACAGCCGCCGTGCGGTGTTGTGAAGCATTGCGATGCATGGCAGCCCTGATTTGCAGCAATTGGTCAGGGGTGGAATTGCCCGGCAAGAAGCCAGATGGCTGCAGAGTCAACTGGGACTCGATGACGTCCCGGATGCGTGTGGCAGAAATGCGTTCCATGAGCTTGCTGGGGCAGCTGCCCAGCGTTACAGGTCGGTGGGGGTCGCGGTTGGAATGCCGTTCTCTCCGGATTGGGCAGGAGTAGCACAGCCCCGCGTCGCCGATTCCGCGGGACGGCTCCTGCACGTAGGCGGATATCAAACAGCCAGGGGGCGGCACGCCTCGCCACATGGCCTAGGTGGCGCAGCGCCTCTCCATGTATTCCGTCGGGGCCAGGCGCCGGTCCCAAGAGCAACAGCCGTAGGGTGCGGCCGGGCTCTGCCATATTTATTGGGTGAGGTCCATCGCATTCGTCGGGATCGGTGGCGGAGGGTGGGACTTTGGGCGCCGTGTTGCTTTCGCCGCCTACAGCTTCATGAGGTGGCTGACCTTCAGGTGTCTGCTGAGCATTGGGCCATCGAAATTCATGGCTGGCGTGCTCAAGAAACGAGGGGCGTAAACACGGGCGTACTACCTGCTGCCTGTTGCCGTCCGTGCCCTCGAGCTCGGGGCGGAGTGTGTGCCAGCGGCTTTTGGATGCTTCGCGCAGCGCTTCTCTGCGACGGAGGTCCAGCCGCTGACCGCCTTCTGCGTGGGGTGCGGCGGCGATGGCGCGGTCCAATTCCGCCAGCCATGGAGTCCAGAATGGGGACGGCTGGTGATTCCATGCCGTGACCGTTGCCTTGGTGGCTGTCCGCATTCCTAGTACAACGCGCATCTCCGTGCTGTCCATTTTGGGTAATTCTCATGTGTTTCTGCGGAGCTGGCTGACCATCTCGTTGGGCCTATTCCAATCCACCTTCTTCCATGCTAATAACTTCCGGTTAGGCCCCAGCACCACGGTGGGTGTGTCGTCGTCCCCGATCGGAAAACAAGGAGGATGATGCAGTGATCGCTGTCCAGTGAGAGCAGTTCTGGCAATGGATGACGACACAGTCCTTCGAAAGGGTGGTGTCGGTTGCTGTGCTGCTCTTTCGCTCGGTGTACCTCGTGCGCTCTCCGCCGTTGACGGCCTGGAGTACATTCTCAATGCACCGCTGCGCAATGGTATCGCCACGGGAGTCTGATGGGATGTTGCGGTCCCAAGCCTCCGTGTGTGCCTCGACGTCTGCGTCCATTAGCTGTGGCCCGTCCGCGCAGAGCTGCCCATCCAAGACCTCCGCCGTCGTGCTCTTTGCAGAGGAGGGAAGGAGAAATGCTGATGACGCCATCAGGTTAATTCCCGCCGCTGGGCGGATGGTCGCTTGCGCCAGCTCGATGCGGGCGACAGAGGCCGGTCCTGCTACCGCCTGTGGCCCCTCACGAACGAGAATGGACACACCGCCGCCACGACAGTTGCGAGCGGTCCTGTGGTGCTGGAACCCCGGCAGGCTGAAACTAGTGGCTTCAGGGTGGGGGACGTCTCCGTCTCACGCATCACACAAAACAACACGTTCTCGCCATGCAACTTCATGCTCAGCGCCAGACGTTTCGCCACAGTGAGGCCGGCGGCGTTCCACCGCAACGCAAGGAGCCGCCGCAAGCCCGCCGCCCACCAGCGAGTCCACCCGTCGTCTGCTTCCCGTCCGCCCGAGCGGCCCCTACACTGTGCACACTGCTACAAGAGAACACAAGCAAGGGAAAAAAAGAAGGGACAGCTGCGTCGCCAACAAGCAGGGGCCGTGTGTCATTGGTGTTGTCCCGCCCACTGGGCGCATCGGCGGCGGGTTGAGCGTCACAACACGCACTTCCCCACACCGGGAGTCACACCACCGGCACTGACAGCAGCCGCATCGTGGGATGCTCCGCTCACAAGTAAATCACACGAACTCACAAGAATACATTCCCAGCGGCTCCCAACCGCAAGCACCCACCGCGAGGTGAGGGCTCTGGAGTGGGAAGGCCGAAGCAAGCAACGCACACACACAAAAAAACACGCTGAATCCCTTCCATTTCCCAATCGCACAATTAACAGAATAAAATGTATAAAAAACACAGACTCACATACATCGTTCATTGACGGCCCAGCACACACACGCACCTCCTCATCACGTGCCCCCAGCAGAAGCACACACGCAGCACAACACAACGGGCGCCCACTGGCTCCACAACCACCTCCCGCACGCGGGTCGAGTGCAGGGAGTGGCACGCTCCACGGGGGCACGGAGCAGTCAATGACACATTCCACGTCGTTCGGCCACGGGGCACACAGGGCACAAACCGGAATGCAGCAACCAATCAAGCAATACATTAGGATTCAACACGCACAGAAAAGAAATCATTTCGTTCATTTGTCAATCGCACAACGGGTATATCGTGTCGTCGGAGAAACGTTCCACACGGGCGACAGGCGATGTGTCGTTGCCGAAGCGCGCCATCAGCGCAGCGTAGTCGTCCTCCAGCACGTGATGGACACACATCGAGGTCGGCACCACCTGCGAGTGCCCCGTGCCATTGCGGGCGTCATGGAAATGACACGGCAGCACCTTGACGTATACCATCGGCTGGTAGTTCAATTCGTTCACCAGCACACGTCCCACCATTACGTCCTCGTGCTGCATATGAATCGAAAAAAACTCTTCCTCACGCTCCTTGCTGTACGGCAGGTATGTCAGGCGTCGCAGCGGCTTGTACGACACCAACGCCTCCGCCACATCCCTCGACAAGGTGTAGCACCAGCCCATCATAAACGTGTTACCCGGTAAGCCCATTTTCTTATACTGGCTAGTACCAACGTGGAGGCCCATGTAGATCCCTCGGCGCGGCAGGAGGCGCAGGTGAGCAACAAACAGCGGCACACGGAGGAAAATGTCGTCATCGCCCTTCGCAATGTACCTCGCGGTCGGGAACAGGCGGTGCGCAAGGTCAAACCACATCTTCTACTTTTTATTGTTTTAATTCGCATGTGTTGTATGGTACTTGTCACTTTATGTGTTATTTTATTATATAAATGATGAATTGGTTTTCCCATCAAATAGTTTTTTTTTTTCTTTATTTTTTCTTCTTCTTTGTCTCACTGTTTGTAAATAAAATGAAATAAAATAAGAAAAATTTAAATTCATAAAAATGCATGTAAAGTGTTTGTCAAGGCGGTTGTTGTATGGAGGGTTTTTTGTATGTGGCATGTGGTTACTCATATATATATATAAATATGTATATATATTTGCCCATGTGTTTCTGTATTCTCTGCGTGATACTATTTATGTGACATAAAAGAATGTTTCGGAAAGTGTTGCTTTTTTTTTTTTTTTTTTAAATATTTATTTCCGGATCTTTTATGCAATTGCCTCAATTTTATTTTTATTTTTATTTTTATTTTTATTGTCAATGACGAAGTGTCTTCTGCAGGCGGGATTATTTGTAAGGACAATTGTCATATTTCGGCTATTTTTCTTCTTTGGTTCCCCCCCCCCTGTTGTGTAAAAAAAAATTAAAAAATAAAAAATACAAATGCTGCCTTCTTTTTTTGTTTTTATTTCTTCTGTTTCCCCCCCCCCCCCCCTTTTTTTTTTTATCTTTTTTTTTTTTTTTTTGCTTCTTTTAACGTTCTTTCCGCCGCGTTCCCACTCATTCAGTCAGTCTTCCCGCCGTTTCCGGCTTGTACCATCAGCCGTCATCATATATGCATGCATAGAAGTGTGTATATATATATAATTTTTTCTTTTGCGTGGGCATGCATGGTTCTAAGGGAAAAACAAGAAGAAAAAAAAATAAGTTACTTCTTCACGTGCTGCCCCTTGAGACGAGCCAAGTAGGCACCCAGTCCCTTCTGCACCTCTGGGTTCATCATAAGTTCCACCACAAACTGCGTGTCATACTCTCTATCTTCGTCTGTTGCGATGTGTTGCAGGAACTCACGTCGCATCATGTCTCGTGACATCCATCGTGATTGCTGTGGGATCGCCATGAAGCGCTCCGCTTCCCTCACCGCAGCCTCGCGTAGTTGTTCCTCCTCAACCACGGCATCCACAAGCCCAATTCTGAGTGCCTCGTCGGCAGTTGGTGTCTCTCCCAACTGCAGCATTCGCTCGGCGTTGCGGGAGCCAACAACATATGCGTACGCCGGAATCACCCATGCAGGGGCCGTAATGCCCAGCTTTGTTTCATTCATCCCAATGCGATATAAACGATCTGGCTTCCCGGAAGGATGACGGGCCATGACGCGGAAGTCACTGCCAATAGACAAAATGCAGCCGGCGGCAGGGGAATTGCCGTTGATTGCGGCAATAATGGGCTTGGGGAAGCTGTTGAGAATCAGCCAGGTCTCTTGAAACGCCTGCCAGAAGCGACGGAGACGTTCGGGCTGTGGATTAAACATCTCGTTGATGTCTAGCCCTGCTGAAAACACGGTAGGGATAGAAGACGTGAGAATGACGGACTTGCATTCTTCATCGCTCCCAAGCCACAGCATCCATTTGTTAAGTTCCTCAAAGAGCTCCAGGCTAAGGGAGTTTACCGGGCCCCGGCTAAGCTGAACGGTTGTAATGCCCTTCTCATTTGTGTCTATTTTCAGCATCTTCGGGGGCTCTGCGGGTTTCTGCGGCGGCTCAAAGTTTTCCTCCGGCGCAGCGTTCATTTCCGTCTGTTGGTGTTCGTGGTGTGACGGACGAGACCCCTGCGGCGGGGCGCGTAACTCCGGTGGAACGCCGCTGGGAACCCCTTGCCGTGTGCCTTGACGGCGAATCGAGGCGCTGAATGCCAGTACGGCAGTTGACGTTGTGGCACACTGGGCAAGGCGTTGGGCACAAAGACATGAGGCAATGACGCGGCGCATAGTTGGGTGTATCCTCGTATGAGTATGACTTGAAAAAAAAAAAAAAAAAAAAGAGGGAGAGAGAAGGGATAAGCAAAAATAAAATAAAATATAAGAAGTCCATCAAATACTTAAGGCACAAGACGTTTATATTATACCACTGCCTTTCTCGGTGTGTATAATGAGGCTGGCATGAATATTATAATCTTCTCCACCATCTAATCGGTCACGTCATGTCGCAACCATAGGGAAGGGAAGCAGAGAAACTTATAGGACTGCCAAAGGACATTGTACAGCAGAAACAAGTGAGATTTCTTGTTCCCCCTTTTCCGCCTCATCTCCGCTCCGGTAAACAAGTATTATTTCCCAACAACCTGTTTTCTGTGCACCTACTCAGACAGTTACATGCGATGCCTCCATATATTTTAAAAATTGTTTCGTGGTGATGTACGGCACTAGGACTAAATCCCCACAATTCATTCCGTCCATCATGCCGATGTTTTCTTTGCATCCCATCACCTCTGTTTGGTAGATGCGTCGCATGCGTTCCTTAAAGTCGTTAAACCC